CCGTGAAGTCGGTGTCACCCGTGCCGGTGACGGCAACGTAGTAGGTGCCCTCAGCCGGCAGGGTGACGGTGTTGGCACCAGACAGCAGGGCGCCGGCAGTATTGAAGGTGGCCAGCGGCGCGGCTGCGCCAGCCGCCCAAACCTCCAGGCGCAAGTCGACATTGGCGCGCGCATCGCCGTTGGGAGACGCCGGCGTGATGGCGATGGTGACAGTCGCGGACCCCGCGCCTGCCGCGAAGGATAGCCAGTCTGAGTCGCCGGTACGCTCGATGTTGCCGACGGCAGCCGCGGTGGTGCGCGTAGGATCAGCGGCGGTGGGGTTGCCAGCCAGGGGTGCTGCAGCGGCCATGGTACTGCCGAGGTCGTCGGGGCGGTAGGCCAGGAAGCCCCTGGCACTGGTCATAAGGGTGGTAGGGTTTGTCATGATGGCGAGGTCGTCCTGCAAGTTGTTAGCATTGGGGTACTCCCCCTTGCTGAACTGCGTAACCGGCTTGTTGTAGCCAACCTGAGGGGCGAGGGAGAGGGGCGGTGGTTGGCAATGGTTATGAGGAGGGCGTGGCAGGACCGATAGAGCTGTGGCTCCAGGCTGCATGAGCAGGGAACCAGCAGCAGCGAGCACGCGGAAGCGGATGGGGCCACCTTCGCCTTTCAACACCATGCGCCCAGCCAGCGCGCTCACCCCCATGATTGGCGCCCAGATGCCGCTGCCGCCGTAGTAGGCATTGCCCAGGGTGTCGCCGTCGTGACTAAGCCCCAGGCGGTGGCCCAGCTCGTGGCTGGTGGCCTCCCACACGTACTTGGGGTAGCCGGAGCCCAGCTGGGCAGGGAACACAAAGGCTGTGCAAAGCGGGGGCAGAGGTAAGGACAGGTTGAGGTCAGGTCGTTGATGACATAAGCAATTGGGAGGTAAGCGCGGGCCCATGTGGCACAGCGCAGGCAACAGCCCCTGCAATTTACACCGCCATGCATGTCCATCTGAACACATGCAGCCCTCCAGCAGTGTGTGCAGCCAATGCCTAGGCCCCCACCCTGCTGCGCACCGGGGTCGTAATAAGTATTGCCAAAGGTGTTCACGTAGGCGACACCGCCAGCGCCTGAGCCAAACCAGTCGTAAGACGAGCCCCCAATGACAGCGCGGGCGCCGTTGTCGGCCAGGTTGATCTGGGCGCCGCTGGCGTCTGTCTCCTCAGTGGTGACGTCCACCTGCGCAGCAGGGCAGGTCGAGCATTGAAAGGATAGGGGAGGGTGCTCCCTATTCACCAGCTCGGTGCGGCTACCGCTGCGGTGCCAAAGATGGGCAGTGGGCATGCCTCTCAATGCTGCAACCCAGTTTTGAGTGCTAAGCAAGGCCAACACAACTGCGAGCCTGCTCCCAATCTCACGTCAAAGGCGGCAAAGTCCTCTGCCACGGCGCGCCAGATGGCAATGATGTTGCGGCGCTCGGTGTCGCTGAAAGTGGACGGCACGCCGTCCAGGTCGTAGGGCGGCGTAACAATGCTGGGGCGGGTTGCGCTGTTCCAGGCTGTGCCAGTGGTGGTGTGGCCTGTGAAGTCTAGCACCAGGCGGCGCGGCGCGCCAGGGCGGCTGTGCAGCTTGAACGCCAGGGACAGGTCAGTGGGGTCGGGGGCACCAGCGACGGCGGAGCCGGGGGCCGCGGCGGGGGTGGCACCGGCGGGCACGGCCATGCCCTCGCACGCGTAGAGCAGGCGCTTGTTGACCTTGTCATAGCCGATGTCGCGGTCATTTAGGACGTGTACCAGCTCACGCACGTCCACACCTGCGTTCCTGGCCACCTCGGCGATGTCGGGGCCGATCGCGGCGGCAGCATTCCTGCAGAGTTTGTGTAGGGCGCACTGGGTAAGGGTGTTTGTGGTGACTGATACGTTTGTGGTCACTCGGATGGGGAATTGTGCGTGCAGGGGTGCGGTGCAGTGTCCAACTGGTGGCAATAGGCTGCATCCTCGCGGGTGAGCCTCAGGGCACTGCGAACGTCGCCCAACATTGCTGGCTGCCAGTACAAGCGCATGTACAACCCCGTGTGCTGCAGGCAGGCGTCGCTTGCAGCCACGTTTGTGCATCACGCTGATAGCACTGCGTTGGCCAGCCAACGGAGCTGACCAGGCGCGCACAGCATCAACAGCACCCGGATCGAGAACGAGCATTCAACTCACTCGTTCCATGCCACATTAGGCATATCTGGCTTGCGCGCCATGCAGCCGGCCACAATGCAAAAGAATGCGGTCATCGCGGCCAGCGCGACCGGGCCAATGCGCGCGGCCATGGTAGTCTTTCGTCGAGACGAGCGCTCAATTCTGCAACGTTACAGCTCTAGACTCAGCTAGCCGAGCTGCACTGGCTGTTAGATTGCTTTCAAACTACAGTATCAGTGTGTGCTGTGATGGCAAGGACATGTGAAACTGTGTGGCTAATAAATTGACAACTTTATTTCTATAATCAAGGATGTATGATGCTAGCAATGATCGGCCATGCGAGGTGCGTGCGTTGCGACATGAAGTTCTCACTGTTGTTCCTCTGTCTGGGCTCGCGGCAAAAAACTCATGTGGACAGCAGCCAACAGGGGCACGGGTGCTTTGCGGGCCACAAGTTGCCGATAAATGTATGTGAAAAACAACTACCAGTAAAAGTCACTGTAGGTGTGCTCAGCTAGAGGAGCCTGGCTTGAGTAGGGTATGCAGGTGTGTGCAGCAGTTGAGGCGACTTTTGATTGCCCACGAGCCAGCTGAGGTCGTTGGCCTAATGTGCAGAAGACAGTTGCAAAGGTTGGAAACCTCCTCAGCGTTTGGCGACACAGGAATGCCTGAGTTGGCCTGGCGGGTAGCCTGCTGCGTTTCACCTCTCCTGCAGAACTACTCAACCGCTGAGGCAGCCGGCCAGCAAGGAGCCAAACTTGAAGCTTGAAGCATCAGCCGGACCAGCTAAGACCACTGACAACTGATTCAATTTGCAGCATCGGTCGCACATTGCTAGCTGTTAAGGATTGCATGTGCATGCGCGGGGGGGCGGGCGCGCGACAAGTCAGCAAGAACCCCTGCGTGGCAACAACTATAATCTGCTGCTGCGAGGGCGCACACGTGGACTGATTTGTATGGGCTGCATCCCAACCCACCCGAAGGTGGATGTGTGCGCAGACAACTGTTTGACGCCAGCACACCCCGAAGGCACACCCCCATTGACAGGACTTGGCAGCGCACTGAGGCTAGTTGCTGCTCTACTGCACTGCGTGCCGAAGCACGGCTGTGGTTGCGGGGCCGCCTGGAAGCATTTGTGGGCGCCCCATGCTTCTGTGGCAGCCCTGCCCTAGACTCGTTCTGGTGACGGCCAAGTGTTGTCGCGGCCTGCTTGCATTCTATTGCTGATGCGTTACAAGTGAGCTGGCGGGTGCGTGGGGATACCCGACTCGCTTTGTGCACACCACTACTTGGCACACAGCGCTTCGTTTGATGCGTACGATGGCGGCCAGATAGCGTATGGTGGCATCACCCTGACTTTCATAGTTTGAGGCTCACATCCCATGAGCCTGGATGGCTCCAGAACCGGGCGACCATTGGCTTGATCATGACCCTAATCCTGAGTGTGGGGCGATAACCCATGTTTGCCTGCATGGTCGTGAAGGTATACTCCAGATGTAAGACGGCATGTATTGATATTACAGGCTTCAAAATACAATTCTAGCTGTTGGCTGCCTATCAGCTCTGACTTGGCCGCAAAGTCATGTTGGTCCCAGGATTATTAACCACCACATCAGCGGCGCAGTTGGTGCTCAGCGCACGGGGCGGTTGACTTGATACAACAAGTCCGTTCGGGCGCCAGATCGGTCTGCAACACAACGAGGACTTCAGCCAACGCCTGCAACGTCGGGCTGCCTCACGGGCAGCTGATGGGAGGCCCAAAGCTGACACGCTTTGCCGCAGCGCTGCAATCTTGGCCTTGGGTACACAAACCGGGCCCAGGAGTGTGCCAGAGTGGTGTTGTGTTCTTACAGACCATGAAAAAGGCAAGGCTCGGTCAATAAACAGTGCGCTACCATGCAACTGTCTGTGTCGTTGTCCTGAAAGACCGTGCGTCGTGAAGGTGGCCGAGAACGTCACCAGCAGGTGTAGTGATGCGGCCACGCCCAACAAGGCATCCGAGTAGAAGGCCATACCCTGTACATACCCACTTCAGAAATAACCATTGCAAAATTCGTTAGGTCTCATTCCCATCGCTTTGAAGTCTCGATCAGAGCAAGATTTTGCACCTACGTGCGTGCAATCCGACGTTCACACGGCTTACACATCTTGTTGCAAAGGTACAGGCCAGTTCCTCAGGATGTCGATCTCCCTGGTTGCGGTGGCGTTGGCTTTCCTGGTGGCTGGCTGCATCGCGGGCAAGCCGGACCTCCCCAATGTGGCCTGGCGCGAGTGAGTACCGTGGTGGACACTTATAAAGCGTTGTTGTTTGCCTTCACGGCCACAGAGTACACTCACCGCCTGCACACCGCTCGCATGCTGTCCGTGCACGCAGGAATGCTGCCGCTGCGATCGGCGCCGACATTGCCGAGGTGGCCAGGAATGCGGGTGTGGATGTCCCTGAGCTGCTGCGCCTTCTGACCGACCGCGACATCGGCTATGACAAGGTCAACAAGCGCCTGCTCTACGCGTGCGAGGGCATGGCCGTGCCCGCCGGCGCCACCCCTGCTGCGGCCCCCGGCACTGCCGTCGCTGGCGCCCCCGACCCCACTGACCTGTCCCTGGCGTTCAAGCTGCATAGCCGCCCCGGCGCGCCGCGCCGCCTGGTGCTGGACTTCACCGGCCACACCACCACCGGCACAGCCTGGAACAGCGCGAGCCGCCCCAGCATTGTGACGCCGCCCTATGACCTGGACGGCGTGCCGTCCACTTTCAGCGACACCGAGCGCCGCAACATCATTGCCATCTGGCGCGCTGTGGCAGAGGACTACGCCGCTTTTGATGTGAGAGGGCGGGCGGGCTCGCGTTTGTGATGAGCATGCTTTGCACTTGTTGGGTTGAAGCATAGGGGAAGCAAGTGTGCCCACTGCTCATCGTTGGCGCAGAGCAGCGGCCGTGCCAAGCCGGTCGGCAAGGAACCCCCTCCCCAACTCTTCCTTACAATCCGCGCCCTGCCCTGCCGTGCAGGTGGACGTCACCACTGAGGAGACAGACGCGAGCGGCGCCCAGCTCAACCTGGCCGACAACGGCGCCCGAGCCGTCATTGGGGGGTCGTCTTACGACTGGTACGGCTCTGGCGCAGGCGGCGTCGCCTACGTGAACACGTTTGGCAACACTTATTACGACCCTGGTGCGCGGCAGGGTGGGGGCCTGGGCTGCACGCACTGGAGGGCGCCGGGTGCCCAGCCTTTGTGTAAACTGCAGGTGCTGCGGAGCGCCGGTCTGTGCCATGCCACCTGACCCCTCGCTGGCGTCCCACCTGCTGTCGAGCCACCAATCCCTCAACCTACCCCCACGCACGTACTGCTCCCCTCGCCTCGCACAGCCTTTGTGTTCCCTGCCCAGCTGGGCTCTGGGTACCCCAAGTACGTGTGGGAGGCCACCAGCCACGAGCTGGGCCACCGCCTGGGGCTCAGTCACGACGGCGACACCCTGGGCAACGCCTACTACGGCGGCAGCGGCATCTGGGCGCCGATCATGGGGGTGAGCGGGCCGAGGGGCTGCGGACTTGGCTGGGCAAGGGCAAGGTCGAGCCCTCCTGCTTCCATGCACTTGTTGGCCGCCTGTTTTGCGCAGGGAGCACGTCGCCAGATTTTCTCCCCTAGGTTGGCCTCCTATGAAGTCTCCCCCCCCCCTAACCACCCATGATCACCATCGCGCAACTGCCCCCCAGGTTGGCTACTATAAGCCCGTTACGCAGTTCAGCAAGGGGGAGTACCCCAATGCCAACAACTTCGAGGACGACCTTGCTGTCATGACCAACCCCAACAGCCTCATGACCAGCATCAGGGGCTTCATGACTTACCGCCCTGACGACCTCGGCAACACCATCGCTGCTGCCGCACCCCTTGCGGGAACCCCCACCACCGCCGATCCTACACGCACCACCGCGGCTGCCGTCGGCAACATCGAGCGCACCGGCGACTCAGACTGGCTATCCTTTGCGGCAGGCGCGGGGTCTGCAACTGTCACCATTACCATCACGCCAGCGTCTCCCAACAGCGAAGCGCGCGCAAACGTCGACCTGCGCTTGGAGGTGTGGGCGGCTGGCGCAGCCGCGCCGCTGGCCACCTTCAACACCGCCGGCGCCCTGCTGTCCGGCGCCAACACCGTCACCCTGCCGGCTGAGGGCACGTACTACGTCGCCGTCACCGGCACCGGCGACACCGACTTCACGAG